TTTTTTTTTTTTTTTTTTTTTAATTTTGTTTGATTTTTTTGTGGTTGGGTTGTGGCTGTGACTGTGATTGAGAGTTATGGAATATGCTAACAAGGAATACAGACATGAACTATGTATGTGTAGTATACGCCGTTGTCGGGTCTATTATTGCTATAGATTGGGCTGTGAGAGGGAAAAGGAAGTTTCGGGGACAGGACACCAGACATCAGGAGGCGGAGGAGCATGTTGAGGGGCATTATGTTGATTAAATGGTCTTGATTTTTACTCTGATGGATGATGAAGTTATATGTGGAAGGTAAGGTTTTTTGTTGGATGGATGGTTTGCATTAAATATTAAGGTCAGATTTCATATTCACAGAATAAAGCGTATAATACATGATAATATCCTAGACTCCGTTACGTTGATTTACATATTGGTCACCTCGATATCCCCACAGACTGTGTATCTTGATCTTGGGATTATATATCATATATACCATACCAATCGAGGAAGTCTTGTTTTTTGTTCTTCTGTCCATCTAGGTCTCTGGATGGATTAGAGGAAAAGAAGCGTAGAGAAACAAGCTTAGATGTATTCCCAAGCAGCAACGGGACCAGTGTAAGGGGCAGCAACAGCCGAGAAACCGAGACAGTCTCTGACGTTACCGGTGGGCACGGTGGCGTTGTTGGAGGCAGCGAAGACCTGCCACTTGGGGTTGCCGGGGACAATGGTGGAGTTGGTGGTGGGGCAGGCCATGAAGCCGTTCTTGTAGGTCCAGCTGCCAAGGGTGCCGTTCTTGCCGGGCTTGTAGGCGAAGCCGTCAGTCGAGGAGCCGGGGGGAGTGTAGCCGGAGTGAGGGGTGGTGAAGGAGAGAGCGCCCTTGGGGTCGACGTAGATGCTCTGGCCACCGGGGACGGCGACGTTCTGGGTTTCTAGTTAGTGGTTGGTTGCTGATATGGGGTGGAAATGAACACCTACAAGGTACTTGTCGCCGAGGAGAGAAGTCTCCTTGCCCGGGGGGCAGGCACCCAGCTTCTCGACATTCTCGGGGCAGTAGGTGGCGGCCTTTCCGCCGAGGTAGAAGTGGGAGTTGGCGGCGTTCAGGGTGAGGAAGTGGATGGGAGAGGCGGAACGAGCGGCGACAACACCGAAGGCATTGGGGTCATTCTGAGCCTGAGGGGCAGGAACAGAGGGGAGAGCAGAGACTGCTGCAATGAGGGAGGAGATGGCGAGGAACTTCATTGTGAATGAATGGTCTTGTTTTTTTTTTTGTTTATGTTCGAGGTGGTTGGTCCTTAAAGATAGATGTTATAGGTTTTGGAGATGATGGGTTGAGAGGATGGGGTGGCAGGGATTTATTTATACGGGGCTTTTGGGTCTAGAAAATTCGGTCTCTCGTTATCTTGGTCACATCGCTAGTGTTGTGCCCGGTCTCATATTTTGCAGCAATAGTGAATGATTTTTCGCATGTGGCCAGGCATCTATGTGAGACAGTCTCCACCACGGACAGGAATTTGCCGTCCGGAAACTGCGGTTAACAGCAATGATCGGCCCGATCGGCAGGTCTGAAGGATATCGGCCGGCCCTGTGGGTAATCTCCGCCGGAATATCACTGGCCACGACTCAGGGTCTTGACGGTTTCCTAGTGCTACTAGCGCGTGGCTGAGAGCCAAGGAAGAAGGGTTCTCAACGGGATCTGTGGCACCTCCATTGCCGATGATGTTATGTTTCATGGCTGTGCAGCTTGCTCTATATATATCTGTAACTTCTATGTGCATCGGATAAAAAAAAAAGTTAATTACAAGGTATGTCGCTTGCTGTAAAGGGTAAAAAAAAATGGGCATCATTTTTCAGTACTTGCCGTGCAAGGGCAGATCCCGTGAGCTCTGCCCGACCCAGATTTGAAAGTCACCGTCCGGCATGACCCAATTCTGCTGGCGAGCACTCCAGTAACTGAGATCCTTGCGGTTCAGAGTCATTTCAACTGTCTTCTTCTCGCCCGGTTCCAAAGCAATCTTGGTGAAGTTGCGGAGAACCCTGTCCGGAAATTCGACCGGTTCTTTGTCTCGCACAAAGGTCACCCTCTCCCCCTTCTCGTCTAGCGGCACCTCTACTAAGTCGCCGTCTTCCACCACGTCCGATGGGAATGACACATAGGCTTGGACCACGGTCTGACCCGCGCGGGTGCCCGTGTTAGCCACTTGAACTTGTACTTTAGCCATTTCTTCATATAGTGACGGATTTCCACCAAGGCCGCCTCCTGCTTCAGACGGCCGTTGGGGCAGGTCATAACCGTCGGGGTAGTGTGTATAATTTTCTGCCGCCGTGCCATCCAGCGATGGCAGATATGAGTAGACGAACTTGCTTAGTGCGTGGAAACCTTCAGGGAAAAGCACACTTTCGTTGACGGGTGGACGAGTGTCATACTCTGGCGGGGACACTGGGTCTTGCGGCCGCGACTTTGGCAGTCGGGACTTCCATTGGATCGACTTAATCTGCAGCCTAGACAGCTCGAAAGTGGAGTAGGAAAGGCCGAAGCCGAACTCATATCGTGGCGTGATGTTAAATTTGTCGAAATACCGGTAGTCAATGTATAGCGCGTCCATAAAATCAACTTGCGGTACCGGCGCATTGTTTTCATATAGCACTTGTGCCCCGGGTCCGTAGTCCTCCAGGCTCCTTCCAACCGTATACGGCAGTCGACCGCTCGCGTCAACGTCGCCAAACAGGACATCCACTAGTGCATTTCCGCTTTCTTGACCAGGCAGATGGGCAAAGAGCACCGCATCCACGCCGGGAAGATCAATCCACGACTCCACAACGACCGGGCCGACGGCGTGAACAACCACCACTGTCGGCCCCGGACAATTGTTAGCCACAGCTTGAATCAAGGTGTCGCCTCCTTTCTGCAAGAATAAATCATTCCGATCACCGTGGATTCCCCCAGCGGAGATATACCCCTCGCCGGAGTTTGCGTTGGCAAACACGAGACACAGATCTTTATCTTGGATATTCACGGGCATCACCATATTTTGCAGATATGGAGTTATCTCTACATCGGATTCCCAGGCACCCTGCAGAGCCTCCAAGGGACTCACGAGGAAAGGAAATTCCACAGTCCCACTGCCCCACCCTGACGCCAATGTCCCCTGACTGCATCCACGATCGGGGCACGCATTCGGTCCTAAGGCCGGGCCAGCATCGTCACCATAGATCCCGATGCGATAAGGGCTCGGCGGACTACGAGACAGCGGTAGGGTGTTATTGTTGTTCTTCACTAGGACGATGCCTTCCGCGGCTACTTTTCTCACGATGTCACCGTGTCCTGCACCAGCATCCACGTACTTGTTAACAACACCCCATCCTCCTTCCAGATCGTTAGCCTCGGCACTGCCCTGTTGCCACCAGCCGGTTTGGTCATCCGTCCAAGAGGAGAAGTTAGGACCGCCTCCACCGTCGGGCGATGGCCGTTCCCATTGGTCCTGTCCGAGATGGTACCATGCTGCCACGATACGGGTTACCATGTCGTTCAGACGCTCCATGGGGATCGACGTGTTGAGCACGGCACGGGTCAGTTCGCTGCCCCATAGGGACTTCCCGTCCGCCCAGTGCAAGCCGTCGCCGGGCATGCTCATGTCGAGCCCACCCAATGCGCTGTTGATACCTGATCGTTGAGCCAGCCAGTCGGACTGCACAAACCCCTGGAACCCCAACTCATCCTTGAGGATACCATTCAGGAGTTTGCTGTTTTCGCAGGCGTGACTGTTGTTCACCATCTGATATGCGCACATGACGCTGGCTACGTCGGCGCGGATACTCTCTGCAAAAGGCCATGCAAACACTTCATGCAAGGCACGATCGCCAACGTTCGATGACAGCGCGGTCGGAATTCCCCATTCAAAGGGTTGGCGAAAATGCTCCTGCTCGTTCATCACGAAGTGTTTTGCAGTAGCCATGACGCCATTACTCTGAATGCCCTTGATGGTCTCTGCCGCAGCAATTCCTTGTAGCACGGGATCGGAACCGAATGCCTCCCAGTTTCGTCCCCCTGCGGGCATCATTCCGAGAGGTCCCATTGATGGTCCCAGAAGGACATTGACACCCTTCAAGCGTGCCTCCAACCCCATCGCAACCCCTCGTTCCCGGATTAGGTCGCGATTCCAGGTGGCACCCGTAGTCAAACCCGGAGGGAAAGCAGAAATGTGATCCGCATACCGTATTCCCATCGGCCCGTCTTGTAAACATAAGGAGGGGAAGTGGACAGATTCGGCCGGCCCTGGATATGTAAGTAAAACGTTTGCGCACGGGACTTGAAAAGACATACCCGTATTACCCACACAGAGTCCCATCCGCCAACCGGTCCCAGTTGTGATATTGACCTTTTCGATAAGGGTCATACTCCCAACCAACAAAGCTGCTTTTTTATAATCCGCTGCCCATTCCTTCAAGGCTCCGCCCCGCGGAGTAGGGAACCATGATTCTGCCGGAATCATTGCCTATGGCTTGTCAGCACGCCCCAGTATATCCCCCATGCGATCGTTCTATAAGCGACAGGGCGACAACATACATAATCCAGCTCGTCCCCAGCCTGCCTCGACCTCGCAAGGCCCAGGAATATCAGCACCAGGAGGACCAAGACCACCACGACCCCAATCAGTACGCGCCACCAATATTTCGAGTAATAGACCGTCCGCCAACCTGTGCGACGACCGCGTGTTCGTTGTAGTAACCCCTGTCTCTGTCCCCTTTTCACCCCGAGGCCGTATCCATCCGAATCGTCGTCATCGTCATCCAGGTCATCATACTGTCGACTTGCCGAGAGCAACTCCTGCTCTGCCTCGGTTATACTGTCTAGATACGCTTCGACATCGCCGGATTTTCGCAAGACAGGCACATAGGCGAAGGCTTGATTATTGCGGGCTCCGTTGCGGTCTACACGACGGAGTTTGATCTCGGAGCTGTCGTCGCCATCGGAAGGGTCCGAGAGAGGGAGAGAGTCAGCATCCGAGCCGTATTCTCTGTCGTTGAGCTCTTCGGGGATCGATTCGTGCAATGGAGTGTACCGCTGAGAGCTGCTGGCGGATGATGGTGTATCCCGGAAAAGGGGAGGAGGCATGATGTTTAAGCGCGTGAAAGCATGGAGAAACGAGTGTAAGAAAGAAAGAAAAAAAAAAAAAAGAAAGCAAGAGTTAACCAGGCGTCGATACTTCACCTCCGCACATTCAACGAAAAGGAGAAATGAAGTGCAGTTTGCAAAACCAGAAAGAGTAATGATTGTTCACTGCCGCCAAACGGGCCAGACCCTCCATGGGCCAATCAGAGGGCGTACATGTCGGAGATTACGCCATGAGGGCCGATCCTCTTGGTTGGTTTAATTGGGATGAGTAACTGAATTCTGCGAGGATCAAGATACTCGGGTGAAAAGAGGAAAGAAGGGGAAAAGGCGAGGCATACCAGTAGACCATAGTGAAAGAAGAATGAGAGAATCCGGGGAAAAGCAAGTGCAAGGGTCGGAGACATTAAGCTTACTCCTTTGGGCCATTCGATGAAGCTTTACTCATTTCGTCCTAGTGCGCGCTAATTAGGTCTGGTGCATTGCTTCTGCATTGGACCCTGACTACTAATAGTATACAGCATAAGACATCAGTCTCTATAGTATTCGACACTAAAACCTAGCTAAAGTAAAGTGAGTCTAATATTTATAGGGTAGGAGGAATGGTAATCGCTATAATATAATAAGTTCGGTAATAAGACTAAATCTTTAAACGGTTAATTCCCTAATAATGCCAACCTTGTTCATGTTAGCCCGAGTAGTACTGAATATTAATACAATATAAAATATTATATACAAACTATATTTGGCTACTTTATTTCCACTTAATAAAACGGGTACCGGTGGCTTTACAGGACGGCCAGATCATAATAAATGTATAACCGGTGCCCATTGTATCTTAGACCGTCGTGGAACAACAGCAGGAGATCTTCAGAGAAACAATTGATCCCGCTTTTCTTGCCGGTTTATAATTGGTGACCGCTTTTTTCTCCATCTTGGTATGGCGGTTTTGTTGGTGAGCATCAATGATCGCTTCGCCGATCCTATCCTCACGTCCTTTTTGCTTCTCATCTGGGAACCCTCACCCTCCTTGGCTTGTTTGCGGACTTTCCTGGCAGTGAATTATCCGGCCTGTCGAGTTCTCTTCTCTGCATGGAGTTTCGTCCCTCCTCCAGTTTTCGAGAGCGCTGTCGCTCGTCCAGCCTTTTGGCATTCAACCGCAGCACGAGCGATAACTGATTGCAACTGCTGCTCTTCCATCGTTCGCTTGCGCTGGAGCTCAGCCTGACAAGAAAGCAAGAATTATCTTACTTGAATTGCTTAAATTGTTCGAATAGGCGATTCGTGCGACCAGTTCCACGGCGCAATCGATTTGAACAAGTTAAGCAAATCAGGTACGGTGGTTAGTATAAATCGTCATGATCACATACTAAGCATCATCCACCGTACTGGGCTTGATACCATCCAACCTGATCAGTCGGCCACTTCAACCAGGTTCGTTGTTGCTCATTGAAGGACCGGTAGATTTCGCCCATCACATGTTCAGGCCAACCCTTCACAAACCAGTAAGAATTCAACTGTTGCAGCAAAACTAGGAAGTAGGATAGCAGAAGCAATGCAGGCCATTTTCGTTGTTGAAGATCAAACACGAACTCATCCGGGAGTTGGTAAAGCCACTGGAATGTTCTGGCGCATCGCTCGCCCCTGCCGATCTCTGTCTTTCCGTAAACATGATGGAAGGCGTTTGTCAGACAAGTGAGTACGTGTTTGTAGATAGCATGCTGGACACCGCCACCAGCAGTGTATTCCACCTCAATCAATTGCTCACACTCTCTGAGGTGCTCTTTCCATTCGGGACCGAGGGTTTCGTGACATAACCGCGTTTTGCCTTGGAGTGATCTCTCTTCCGTGGTCGACCGAGGGCTGGAGACTGGATCTATGTAGAAAACGTCTCGCGACACTTCAGTTATAGATCGGATTCCTCGCAGTAGCGTCAGCCATTCTGCGCGGTCGGAATCACTAAAGGCAAGATACTCCCCATCTCGGGGTCCCTTTGCTAAAGAGCATAAGCATATCAATACCGAACTGCCATATACCGCCTGACATGTACTTTCATTCAGTCCAGCTATCGAGGAGCTCACTTGGGTGAGTGCAATGTTGTAATGACGGTCACCTTCCCAGCTCCGTACATGTGGTACACCCATGCTCGGCAACCGAGCCATATGGTAGCCCGCAAAAGCCAGAAGCAGATGTAAGATATAATGGAAGCGAAACCCTAATTGCGGGAGAGCTACCTGGAGTACATGCATTCCCTCGTCATCATCTGCTAAGGTTGCTGAGGTAACCGACAGATAATGATGGAATAGCTCTAGGTCAGTGGTGTTGAGCTGTAACTGAGGAATAGTAGGCGTAGGGAGGATCTCAACCAACGCTGACTTGGCGTTGGCTGTCTCCCTAGCGGTGGCTTGTCGCCGCTGATATCTTCTTTTCGGTAACTTGAAACCTGTTTTGGAGGACGATATAAAGGTAAAACCATTATAAGGCAAGGGCGTTGCGCGTTCCACTGGTGTTGAACGTGAACCAGTAGTTCCTGTTGACCCTGTGGATGCTGTTTCTGATGGGGCAGGCTGCTGGATAGTGAAGTCGCAATTGACATCGTGGCTGATGCACTGCCCGCATGCAGGCTGGATTTCATCGCACTAGGGATTGTTAGTACGTCTTTAAGAATCAATTTAGCTGTTGTCGTATTCACATTGCACCTCACGGCGGGAATTCGCCACTCTTTCTAAGCACTTACTTTGATTCTGCGCCGCTTACAATTTCCACATCCGTTACGGGATTTCCGATGAGATCTGCGGGACCGTTTTGTCCGTTTAGAGTCCGCCCTCGCCTCCATCCTCTATAAGCAAGGCATCTAAGAAAAAAGACTGGAAAGTTTGAATGTTGCGCTTGGAAAGGTTCATTCGTTTGAAAACTGGGCCTCCCACTTGCGATGGGTCCACGCATGCTAAAACAGGCACGATTCCATTTCGGGCATAGCCGCTACCGTACATTTTTGAGGGTTGCCTGGTTTGGTTTCTCAAGGAAGAGGGCAGTCAAAAGTAGTGTGATCCGTTGAGCATATACTTGGTGATTCTTCACTATTAAAAAGCTCTTATCGACTTCCCTGTTGTTGAGGAATCTTCCCCCTGCAGAGAAAAATAGCTGTTTTTCAGAGAGATAGACGACCGGTTGGTTAGAAAACAACCCGTTGCTATATGGAATAGGGCTAGGCTACGAAGCTTAATGGTTTCGGTGGAGCTTCAGTCCACAACGAGAACCGTAACAGTTGAACTAAAGTCCTTTAAGTTTGTATTTGGACATGGGTGTCATGTCTCTACTGCTACTAGCTATGTCCTTCAGAGATTGATTGTCATAGATCGCGCTACTTCCAAGAAACAAGGCATGGACCAGGTGTATTATTATCGTGTATCGAAGTACTACCGAATAGAGATACAAGAGAATGTTGAAAAGGAAGTACAGTAGCAATTTACAGAGACTACCTCTCATTTAGATGAACGATCCACCAATAGAACATGCCCATCATCCCATACATCATTACCCTTAAGCCGACGGACCTCCTGCACGACTCGCTGAGGATGAAACACCAAAAGCAACGCCATAATAATCCACATAGGCATCGCATCAAAGGCATAAACAAATATCTCATGAGAAACAACAAACCCGCCACTTCCTTGCAGATATTCAAACGCTCGCACAATGCTTCGGACAAACAACAGTACGGCTGCGATTTCGATAGCAACAAAGACACGCTCCCACCGAAGCGACACAACAACGCAATCCAATCGAAGTCTGTAATGCACATAGCCACAGGAAAATATAAAAGCTGTCACGGCGATAAGCTGTGTTAGCAAACCACCAACGATCAGCGCCTTGCTTTCGGCCATTTTACTCATGTCCTTGGATGTCATGAGTCCGGCTCCCATAAATTGGGTCAGTATACAAGCTATGTCCACGAACACGTAGATTTTTGTCATCCAACGCGGGCTAACCCAGGAGTGATGTTGCCCGTTCAGCGCAATGGTCGTTCGGCCAGCAGTCATGTAGATTGTTGCTGCTAGTAGCGGTGCTGCGACAAGGAGTAGGATAGTTTGTAGGACGAAGGGACCTGTCTTGGCAGGATCGCTGGCGGAGGCGGCGCGGCCGTAGTATCCGAAGGTTTCGACTAATAGTGGTTGAGGTTAAACACTGCTGGCTCCTTTTGTAGTAGACTTGGGGCAGACGTCAAAAGTAAACTTACAGATACCGCCTAAGATGAAGGGAATGAAGTGCCATGCGCGTAAGATGATAAGACTATAGAGGATGTGAGCAACGGTCACTGCGCCAAAAAGAGCGACAAATACGAATCCCGCTGCTTTGTTAGGCTGATACTCATAGAAAACAATTTGCGTGCCATTGACCACAGGTCCATAACCATGCTGGGTGCTCATGATTAGGAGAAATCGGAAACCGTGCAAGATAAACAGACAAGGAACGGTCAATTCAGAGGCCCCCCGTTGTGATAATTGGCATGTGGCGACAGTTTGCGTTCTTATATGCTGCAAATCTGCGGCGATCAGTCTCGTATAACATCCCATTAACTTCCAATTCTGGAATTGAGTATAGAATAAACGGGATACACTACCATTCCCTGGCGTCTGTGCTTTGAGGGGAGTTCTTAGGGCTCCATGGTGGGGTTGCCGTATTTGGAACATATCCGTATTCGGGTTCTAGCAAATGCTTTTCCCTTTCCGGGTAAGGCGCGCTTCGAAACACAATCTGCAGATATTCTACGAGAAAAAAGAAAGGAGATGGGTCCGTGGATAAATAACTCCATGATATGAGGTCATGGTAGTACTTGCACCTCTCTCAGGCAGACGTGGCCCTCATCCATACTCAAATATAAATATCCCTCAAGTCATCCCATGATGAATTGTTCCGTCTCAGAAACCATCATCACCCACCATGCTTCGCCTCATCTCTCTATTCCTGGCAGCTAGCCGGCTTACCACTGCAATAGACTGCAAATGCGTAAGGAATACCCTTCCTAAAGACCGCTCAAGTATTTTAAATTCTCACGCGGCCCAGTCACCATCAGACCCATGCTGGCCATCCGACTTAGAATGGGCTTCCCTCAACGAAACAATCTCGGGCCACCTTATTCGAACAGTGCCCCTTGCAGCAGTATGCTACCAGACCGAGCCTGTCTATGATCCTGAGGCTTGCACTACTGTTCTCGCAAATTGGTCCACTTCCGCTTTTCACTCTGCTGATCCGACCAGTATCGATGACCCCATGTGGGCGAATAATAGCTGCAATCCCATATATCCAAATGGCACCAGTCTCACGGGTAATATCCGGGCCGGCGAGAAGGGTTGTTCGATTGGAAACTATCCCCCGTTTGTAGTGAACGCAATGGAGCCTGGCCATGTGCAAGCTGCGCTGAAGTTTGCAAAACAGTGGAACCTGCGGTTAAACATCAAAAATACTGGACATGGTTCGGAAAGAAGGTACATTTTTTTACTAGTCTGCGCATTGAAACATTCTATCTTGATATCATTCCTTGCTGTCTAGCTCAGGTTGGCTAACTTTTAACTTTAACCTGCTTTTAGCACGGCCCATGGAAGCTTGTCGTACGTGATCCCCACCCATTCAATGAGATAAACACCCATGGTTGACTTTATTGTAGGATCTGGACCCATAATCTGAAACAGATTCAATTCCATGAGAGGTTCCAACCTCAGTCGTGCAACACTCAAATAAGGGTAAACGGAAGTCAAATGGCAGTCACCCTAGGAGCAGGTGTACAAGATGGGGAGCTATTTAAAGCAATGTCGAAGCACAACGCCATCGCAGTGGGCGGAACCAATGCTGTAAGATAAACATCTAGTGCTCGTTAGATGGAAACCCAAGTTCACAAGAATGAATAGGATGTCGGTGTCGTCGGGTGGGCAACGGGTGGAGGCCATGGCCTGGCTACTGGCAATTACGGCATGGGTGCTGACAATATCATCGAGGCAGTCATCGTCACCCCAGCAGGGGAGGTCGTAACGGCCAATGCTTGCCAAAACAAAGATCTCTTTTGGGCCATCCGCGGAGGCGGTGGAGGGACATTTGGTGTTATACTGAGTGTTACTCTAAAGGCGTACCCAATGCCATTGGTGACGCTTATAGATCTGTCAATGTCAGCTAAGAATGGAACTCGTCCGTCGAGTTGGTACCGATTTGTTGCCCGGGCCCACGGATACTTGGATCTCCTACAAGAAGCTGGCGTTCATGGGTACTATACGATGGGTGGAGAGTCTCTGGCACTGCAGGGCGCTTTGCTCCTTTATGATGCCAAAAACGGCACAGCGGAGGAACTCCTTACACCAATGCGGAGGTTCTTTGATGCTTCTAATGCAACAGCTACCTCGAGCCTCACTCCACTTGTAACATTGCCATGGTATGAACTTGTCGAGATGATGCCTACTACCGAATCAGTAGGCACGAAGCAGAGTGTCAGAGCATCTCGGTTTATCCCACGGCGGGTAGTCAAGGATAATATCGAATTATTTGCAGAGACTCTAGAGGCAATCACATCTCACCCGGGTCCTCTGAACGTGAGTACTAGCTTTCACTCTGCATTGTTTTAGGACATTCAGCTGAGACGACAATGACATAGAATGGAGTCTCGGCTCCTTCGATTTCAGGAACCATGACCGGTAGCAGGACGCCTGTTGCCAATGCCCTATATTCCGCCTGGAGAGACTCGGTTGTTCATATAATCACCTCTCAAAGCTGGGACGAGTCCCTACCTCCCGCCGTGGCTGACCAGGTAGTCCACAATATGACATACCAGAAAGGCTATGCCTTGCGACAGCTTGCGCCTGATACGGGTGCTTACTTTAATGAGGTGGGTCTACAAGTTGTCTACCTACTCAAGTATGCATTTGTCGCTGATGAGTATATTTCTTATGTAGGCCAACGCAAACGAGCCAAATTGGCAGTGGTCATTTTTCGGTGCTCACTATCCCAGGCTTCAAGCCATTAAGCAAACATACGATCCAGAGGGTCTACTTTGGTGTCGTCAGTGTGTAGGAAGCGAGAGATGGATGGAACAGGAGGATGGGAGGCTCTGCCGCGCGTTTTAAAATGGTTGTCAAGTTGAAGGAAGAACTTCAAAAAAGGTTTACAATTTATAAATAAACTGTAGACTGTATATTATGTGTTAGCGGTGGAATTGTACAATTATAATCGTGAAGCTATAGGAATAGCTGGCTTAGTTCAAAGGTTTCTAAGGAATAAGGCCCCGAAAATACTTGGTATTGCTTTGATAGGAAAAAAAGAACAAACAAAAAAAAAATATTGTACCTCAGATGATCACTTAGATCGCTTCTGCCCGTTAAGCCTATCCTTGCGTTAAATTTTCAAATTATCAATCCATAAATTGGAACCTGTTGTCGTCCAAAAATTGACTGCTGTAACCGAATAAATGCGAACTCCTCCATTGCACTAGTACTACTAGTGTTAGTACTGAAGGCACTCACGCATCTTCTAGACTGGTTGACATTTCTTTGAGGTCCAATTACTTCTTCCTTTCCAGATGGTCCATGTTGATTTTATTGCACTAAACTAAGACCCTACTAAAGACCGTCATACTAGGAGGATCCACCTAGATAGGGCATGACTATCAAACAACACTGATGCACATAATCCTGATGCTCATTTGGAACTAAACAAAGGAAATTAAAAAGAATCAAATGCTCCATGGTATAATCATACAAATCATAACGCAATTACAGCTTGGACACCTGGCCCGCTGACGAAATCTCGTTGTACAACAGGCTGGTCAAGAAGTCTGCATAATCCTCGCCCGTCACCTGGCCGGCGAAGTAGCGTGCTGCCAGCTGGTACTTGTTGCCCTTGGGACCCTTCTCAGCCAGGCTGTCGGCCTGCTCCTTCAGCAGACGCAGCGCATATGCCTTGTCAACCTTCTTGCCCTCCGACGTGGTGACGCCGTGGTAGGTCCATTGCCATAGCTGACTGCGGGACACTTCGGCGGTGGCAGCGTCCTCCTACTCGGGGTTAGCTTGATATTGCTTAAAGAGGTTACAGAGACTGGGAAGGAAACGCACCATCAGGTAGTTGATCGGAATACATCCGACTCCACGGAGCCAGCCTTCCATATAGGAGAGACCGATGTTCAGGTTCTTGCGGATACCGTCCTCAGTGATCTTGCCGGGCACGTTGGTGTTCAAGAGATCATTGGCGGTGACGTGGGCGTCCTCACGGCGCACGAAAAGCTGGTTGGGAGTGGGCATGTGCTTGTTGAATACCTCGGAAGCGATGGCGGCGAGAGCCGGGTGTGCCACCCAGGTACCGTCGTGACCAGCACGAACCTCACGCAGCTTATCGGCGCGCACGCTCTCCATGGCCTTGTCGTTGGCAGCCTGGTTGTCCTTGATAGGGATCTGAGCAGCCATACCACCCTGTTTCTGTTAGCATGTTTCGCACATGGCATGTCGTTGCTGGGGATGCTTACCATAGCGTGAACGCCACGACGGTGGCAGGTCTTGATCAACAGTCTCACGTAGGCATCCATGAAGGGCACAGTCATGGTGACGTCCGAACGATCAGGAAGGACAAAGTTGGGGTGCTTGCGGAACTTCTTGATGAAGGAGAAGATGTAATCCCAGCGACCGCAGTTCAGACCCGAGCTGTGTTCACGGAGTTCGTAGATAATCTCGTCCATCTCGAAGGCAGCGCTGATGGTCTCGATCAAGACAGTACCACGGATGGTTCCGCGAGGCATGCCAATGTAATCCTGGGCGAGGTTGAAGACATCGTTCCACAGTCTGGCCTCCAGATGAGACTCCATCTTGGGCAGATAGAAGTAAGGCCCGAACCCGCGGGCCACCAGCTCCTTGGCGTTGTGGAAGAAGTAGAGACCGAAGTCGAACAAACTACCGGAGATCGGCTCTCCGTTGACGGTGAAGTGCTTCTCGTCTAGGTGCCAGCCACGGGCACGGGCGATCAAAGTTGGGAGGGTGCGGTCGGTGCGCAGCTTGTATTCCTTGTTGCCCTGCTTGAAGTCGATCTGGCGACGAATGGCGTCGTACAAGTTGACCTGACCGTTGATCATGTTCTCCCAGGTTGGGGCACTTGAGTCTGTATCCACCGTCAGTTCTTCTTCCACCATGATGTCCCAGCGAATGACCTACCCTCAAAATCGGCCATGTAGGTCCAGACATCGGCGTTCAGCGCATTCACCACCATCTTCCGATCTGTCGGGCCGGTAATCTCCACGCGACGGTCGACAAGACCGGGAGCGGGAGGAGCACCCTTCCAGGCGTCATTCTCACGGATGTGCTTGGTCTCGGGGAGGAAGTCGAGGAGGTGACCCTTGTCGAGCTCGGCCTGACGATCGATCCGGCGCTGGAGGAGAGCTTTGCGGGTGGGGTTGAAGGTGCGGTGGAGGATGGCCAGGAAGGCGCAAGCTTCCTTGGTGAGGATCTTGCGGGCATCGTTAGGGATGGCGCCCAGGATGGCGACATCCTTGAGCTGCACGTCGATTTGGCTCATGATTGTAAATCCTTGTTCTTGTCGAACTATGTAGCTAACGAACAAGTGTATGAAGACAAATTGAAAACAGACAAAGAGAAAAAAGCGTCCGAGGTCGAGGTACGACAAACGGGTATATAAGTACAATCGGCTGGAGCCATGGAGACTACGTCAGAACCATGGACAACCGCGGCTGATGGGAACTCTGGGTTCAACATGATAGGCAGGAGCTACCAATCTGAACGGTAATGCTGTGTATTGTAATTCCGCATGCTCCAGAATCTCTGAATTGTTCCATCTATTGTAAATGGACCTGCGATAGGACAGGAACCAGTCACTGGCCACCATCGCATATCGATATCGGCCAGGGTGAGCGGAAATTTCCTGATTGGGATGCAGTTGGAGGAGCTCCAGCTCCATCCCGTGACTTTACCGCGGAGAAGAAGTAACGTTACCGGTAATACCAATACGCAACCAGCTCTGTTTGTCGCTCTCGGCCGACACTCCCCACGACCGATTAGATTCCCCTCACCCGGGGGCCGCCGCATACCGATAAGCTCTTTATCAAAATTAGAATACACGATGACTACAACTCTATACATATATCTGCCTCGCTACTGAGAGAGCGCAGGAATCTGCGTTAGTTGCCAATTCGAGGGCCATCCGTTCTTACCGAGTCCAGTCGATCATGACCACGACAGTACGGTTTGGTACTGTTTCCAAGTGACTAGCCTGCTGGCAGGAAACTACCGAGGGATAAAGATAATAAACTCCCCGCACATCCGAAGCTTCCACTCACAGCCGCGGCCCTCCCGAAACGTCACCATGATTTGCTGCCACCACGAAAAGCATGTCTTGCCTCAGGCTGCCGATTGATTCCGATGCGGTCGCGCTACGATAAGATAACCTAATTGCACCAAACGCTTTGCTGAGCCGAGAACGTTGGATATGTATCTTTCGGTTCGGTCTACTAACACAATTTGTAGCACGACTATAATCAGATCAGATCAGAAGTCGATTGCCAAGGAGTAATACTCAGCTACACGACCATACTATTCAATTGCATATGGATCATGATTTGATTGTCTCTTCGCCCAAATGGGAATGGGAGAATGGCATGTGATACTCTTGAGCATGTGATGTGGTAGCTTGTGAATCATCATCTTTCAACACCAGATCCCGGTTCTCTCCCGGCAACTCGTCCAAGGATCGGGATGACACGGGCAGTCAAATACTTGTACTGTGCTCTAGTGACCGAAAGAACTACCCGAAACTTTGGAGCTCTGCAGAGCACGGACGACGCTAAAAGGAATTCATTGGTATCTAATAATTCTATGTTCATATTCGCCAGCCGGGGCCAAGTCTAGACCGTTTCAATATATCGTCGCACCTCCCTAGAATATGGTCAGTCTATAGCGAAAGCCAGATAAATGCAACACCAACAACATACCAATCGGTGACGGCCTCTTCCCAGAGGCGCACTTCATGTTCCCGGGTGCCGCCAAAATGGTCGACGAAAGCATCCCCAAACACCTCCCGTGCGACACTGCCCTTGCGCATAAACGCGGCGACCGCTTCCTTGAGGGATTTGGCCAGACGCACCCCCTGGTCACTGCCGCTCCCCATCTCCTCACCTTTAGACAGCGGGGGCACTGGGATCTCCAGCTTCTTCTCCACGCCCCGCCATCCCAATGCGACAATAGCCGCCATGACATAATGCGGATTGGCATCTGCCCCGGGGACTCGCACTTCTAATCGAGTAGCCTTCGGGCTGCCCGTTGGCGGCGTAATCAATCGAATAGAGGCCGCCCGATGCTCCAGGCCCCACGAGACCGTGACGGGGGCCCAAAAATTCTCCACGAGCCGTTTGTAGGAATTGATGGTCGGCGCAAACATAGGCATAATATCAGGGAGACCCGTGAGAATGCCCGCTAAGAAATATCTGCCCAAATCGGAAAGATGAGCGACATCGGGGTAAGGTGGAGATGGATCCGGGGTATCGCGCAGAAAAGCGTTCTTTCCATCGCTGGTAACGAGCGAAATATGCATATGGCCACTATTACCAGGCAATCCCTGGCGCGGTTTTGCCATGAAAGTTGGGGTGATACCGTGCTTGGTTCCAATCGATTTGACGACATACCTGTGTTGCGGTTAATGTTGCTCAGATCGATCCCATGGATGCCTTACTTGAAAAGTCCTGCTTTATCTGCCATCTCCTTGGCTTCTCCAAATTGTAGCGCCTAACAACATCAGCATTGACCGGGCAAACCCCGTGTAGAGCACTCACAGCTTCAAACACACCGGGTCCACTTTCTGTATGCCATCCTTCAATGTCGCATTTAAATTGCTCACACGCATCAAAAATACCATAATAATAATCCTGGTTATGAATAGGGCGGGTCAAACTGTACCCAAACATCCCCTCCGTCAGGGAAGGTAATGCTTCAACGGGGTTCTCTCTCAAGAAGGTCGCCGTAGAAGATGCGTTGCGCTCGGGAGAAGAATGGGATTCTGGCACACGGAATTGATAAAATTCATACTCCGCTGAAAGAAGTTAGCATGTCCATATCTCTAAGGAGGATGTGGAGAGTTTACGCACCTCCTGCCATCGCCTGATACCCGGCCGCCTCAGCCTTGTCAAGTGCGGTCTTGACTAGACCTCGAGGGCATGCACACACAGGCTCCCGAGTATCGGGATCGTGAAAGCTAACGAGGAAGAAAGGGACGTTGTTCTCCCAGGGAATGCGACGGAAGCTGCTCAGATCTGGAATGGCAACAATATCCCGATAACCGTTTTCCTTGTTACTGATGGCCAACTCCTTGAAATATGTTTGGTCGTGCATGTCCCACCCAAATATTACAGAGCAAAATCCAAAGCCTTCCGACACGATGGAAAGGAACTTTTTCTTAGAAACAAGCTTCCCGCGCAGCATCCCATCGACATCCACACCTGCCAACTTGACACGAGTATCTCGCTGCAGGATCTCGGCGACATTGTCGAGTGTGACTTCGGGGGAGGATACAGAGCCCATATTGGAGCTGGCAGTGAAGAGACGTCAGTCAAATATAGGAATGAAAGTGGTCGGGAGACATGAACCTACAAATCAGGGAGAGTCGCGGTCTAAGAAGGGTGTGGGCGGAACGAAGGAGCCACAGCGGGTCATTTGTTATCGGTGCCTTATCGTCATGCGGATCAAATGACCGCATAGGAGAACAAACTGCATTTTCCCCTTGTCCATTCACATCATCATAATAATATCCGTTCGTATGGAAGTGCCCAGTATGGCCAAAAAGCCTGGTCGAGCCATTGCGCCCTTCATGCATGTCATCCTGGAAGGAAGATGATACCAAGAGAACACTTAACTCTTCGGTCCCTCTTTATCAGTTTATCTGAAAGTCACTTGATGTCACTTGATTCCACAACAGCTTAGATAATAACCTGTGGGAACTTGCCCCGCGTTTTGTGGTGTGTTGTAACCAACTGCTTCTTCAATTGATATATTGGGACAGTAAACCTATCCTTACGAATCAATACTCATTCTACTCAATTGGTTTCTAGTCGGGTTGGGACGTTATCACCCTGAGCGTGAGTCTTACATTTGACTTATGACATCACCCAGGAGTCCGATCTCCCCGCCGAGAATAACCAACTTACTGAGAATCGCTTGCTAGCAGGAATACGACACAATGGCTACTTCAGCAGGACGTCTTCAAGGCAAGAATGCTATAATTACTGGTGCTGCAGGGTGAGCTCCAATACGCATTCTTTCCAGCAATGTACTAATATGGTGTAGAGGGATCGGTCTCGAGACTAGCATCCTCTTCGCCCGCGAAGGTGCCAATGTCCTCATGGCCGATATCTCTGCCCCTGCCCTCGAGAAAGCCCTCGCCAAAGTGAAAGAGGTTGTCCCCAATGCCCCACGAGTTGAGACCTTGAAGTGCGATGTTTCCAAGGAATCCGAGGTACAAGCGATGGTGGAATCTCAAGACAGCTGGGGCGGAACCGACGTGATCTTCAATAACGCGGGTATTATGCACGCTGATGATGCCGACGCCGTGGACACTCCAGAGAAGATTTGGGATTTGACACAGAACATCAACGTGAAGGGAGTATGGTTTGGCTGCAAGCACGCCGTGCTCAGTCTCCGTCGTCATAAGAAGACTAAGGGTAGCATTATCAATACTGCTAGTGTAGTTGCCTTAGTGGGTAGCGCCACTCCTCAGCTGGCTTACACTGCCAGCAAGGGTGCGGTGCTGGCCTTGACCCGTGAACTAGCCATTGTGCATGCTCGGGAGGGCTTCCGCTTCAATGCACTGTGCCCCGCCCCGCTAAAGTACGTTCTGCGTTAGCATTGAGCTTGACTGATGATTATGCTGACACCCACAGCACCCCGCTCCTGCAAGACTGGCTGGGCGATGATAAGCCTAAGCGGTTCCGTCGTGAGGTGCACTTCCCGACCGGACGGTTCGGCGAGGCTATCGAACAAGCGCATGCAGTTGTTTTCCTTGCCAGCGACGAAAGCAGCTTCGTCAATGGTCACGATTTTGTTGTTGACGGTGGAATGTCCAAGGTATGTGTTTTGAGATTATGACCTGCTTCAAAGGTAGCTAACTGCATGAAAGGCATATGTCACCCCCGAGGGGCCAGCCACCCCTGCCCCCAAGAACTTGGGTCACTAAATCCGCATGTTTATGGTTATGACACGATTGTCAATGACGTTCTTTATTTTTCAAGGGCAGATGCAAGAGAATGTCTACTTAACACTTTCGGCCAGCCCATAATGTAGCAGTTATCGCCCATTCCAGACCTCCTGATGTCGAATTAATCTGCCGCTGGCCTGCTAGGTCATACTAAGCATACCCGAACAGTGCGAAACCCAACATACATGTGGCAGGTTGTGCTGGGATGCCATATATTACGGTCCTAGTGCGTACATTACATGGCTATGCGGTCCCTCGGCATAAAAGCTCTTGACTTGAGATCGATGCACTATATGGATTGGAGAATAAATTAGGCATTATCATTCAACTCGATCTGAAATATAAGACTTTCTCGCTCTCTTCGTGTGTCCATCTCCGTCGGCCCTCTCCTTGTACTTTCAAGTGCAGTGAATTATGAAATCTACGCGATCTCGGCTTCGATGATCATCTCATACTCCTGAGGGTCAGGCCAGAAGTTGATAATTTTGAAACCAGCATCGGTTAACAGCTTCTCCCATGCATCTTGCGTCCGTTCGGAAGCTGACAGCAACGACATCATCTCCACATCCATTGTGGTTTGACTGATGCTTGCTCCTATTGGCGGAAGAACGATGTCGTAGATGAGGAGCTTGGAGTAGCCCTTTACCATCGCGTTTTTGGTGTTCACGAGCAGTTGCTTCGCTTTATCGTCTGGCCAGTCATGGAGAACGGCGTGCAGATAGTAAGCACGGCTCCCTGCAGGTCTGTTATTAATAGGCAGACTTGGATTTCTGGACCGGAGTGTCTCTTACCTTTCACAGGCTGGGGTAAGAAAAAGTCATGAACCATAGCTGTGATCTTCTTATCGAGCTGAACATTGGCAATCACCTCGGGAAGATCCTGCAAAATCAGTGATCCAGCAGGGATGTCGGGGTGCTTAGCAAGGACGTAGGAGATGTCCGTCCCGGTGTTTCCACCCAGATCAACCACGAATGGAGAAGCGTCGTCTAGCTTGGCACCATCGAGCAGGGTGGTTGTATCGTAAACCTTGGTCCATGGGGTCTTCCATGCTGTCCAAGCCTCCATATGGCCGGTGAAAGCTTCAAAATACGCAGGGCTTTTCTGCAATCGCCCAAAGAAATTGAGGCCGTCGGGATCAGTGTCGGTGTAATTATTCACATTAACGTCCGTAGGCTCTTTATAAGAGATCTTGGCCAGATAGGCCGGCAAGTTATGGCCAGCCGCAATGTATTGATATGTCCTGGCCAACAGGTTAGGACAGCATATGGACCGATGGCTGGGTAGGCATGCTTACGCTGCTTGAAGCGAGGCGCGAACCTTGGTGCTCTCGTCACCGATAGCGTACGAGAACGCAGTCGGCTTGAATGTGTCTTCCGCCGTTTCCTCAACCACATAGAAAGCTGCTAGCAAGCGGAAGAGCCGACCTGTACGCCATCAAGTAAGCCTTACAGAATCATGCTGGCATTGGGATAAAGGCTTACGTAGGAGGTTTGTATCAACGGTGGGCGTGGTGAGCTCTACCAACTCGTGGATAGACTTCTCACCTCCTCCAGCACCTGTCCAGGATTTCCAAAGACCCACGTTAATGCAGATTTGCAGAGCGGCAAAGACAACCGGGTGTTCAAAGCAGAAACCCCAGGCGCGCTCATAGGGTGTTTCCAATCGGGCAAGCAGACGACGTGCTGCAGCGCGCACTTCTAAGCGTTCCACTTCGTTTCCGCCAAATGCCTCAGGTTCCACTGCATCCAGGGCAGCAATGGTTTCTAGAATCTGTGACCGCATGTTGCACTTTCTAACTTGGGTTATGGGACTCCAGGGACGGGATATATGACAATGGTTGCACCAGGCCAGGTGGGCGAGGTGGGCGACGGTTTATATGGGCCAACGGTCCCCATTTCGTTAGCAGCGCTAGGGCCAAGTGTCGAATCTCTGATGAAGCCAGCGGGGTGAACCCCTCAGCACTAATGAACAATGGCCCCACAAGATTTCAAGATTTCCTCTGTCGGACCCGTTAGTACGGAAAATAATTGGAAACCTTCATCTCTGGACAAAGTTAGGAGAGTGCGAAGGATCATCGTTATGTACAATTCCTGAGGACGGGCCAATGTACTAATGCACTCGGTTAAGCCCATTGGGGAAAGATCGCTGCATGTCTGGGCCACGCCACCAACCAGTCTAGGCACCGATGGCAGCATGCAGGGGGTCAGTTCGCCGGATCGCCTGGGCCGCGCTCTGTCACTTGAGTCCTGAATAATTTATTTATGCGCTACACAGCACCCATGCCGATCGATTTCTTGGCGCTTCTTTAACTTTAGGTCGGCTGCAGAAAACGATGTCGCTCGAAGTACAGGTCATATCTCCTTTCATACTGATACATTAGAGGCCGCCATGCTGAGATCCTGGCGTGCTTTGGCTTCGGAGCGGTGCCAGGAGATGTTGTCGCTCAATCTACAGGTCATAAATCCTTCTATACTAATACTACACGAATGGCCGCATCTTTCTCGTCTTGGGTAGGAATCTCTTTCTTCCTTCTCTCACCCCAATGACCATTCACTTCTATCCGTGACTCTACTGTGGCCATCTTCGACATGAGCGCATACGGAGGTTTAGGGCCCATGACCAATGCGGTCCTTTGGCTAGAGGTCGTGATCTTTGCTGTCTTCGCAGGGCTAAGGATCTATACGCGAAAACACATTCTGAATGCGATCGGTCTTGATGATTACCTAGTTGTACTTGCATTGGTGAGAGAAATAGCCGTATCACAAAGCTACTTCGGCGAAGGCTGACGTGCAGCAGATTCTTCATATCCTTTACACCATTTTTGTCACCATCGCAACCCACTACGGTCTAGGGCGACTGTTTGCTGATGTTGGTGATCCAGTTATCTACTCCAAAGCTACCATGTATGAAGTGTTCAGCCAGGTGGCTGGTATCATGGTCATTGGTGTAGGTAAAGGAGCTGTGGGCACCTTCCTCCTTCGAATTGTGCGAAATAAAATTCAAATCTGGTTTATCTGGGGTTGTCTTGGGATCACCACTTTTATCACTCTGTTCGCCAGTATTACCGTTGTAATACAGTGCTTTCCAGTCGAGAAGACTTGGAACCCAACTGTGGAAGGAACATGCTGGATCGACTTTTCCAAGGTGGGCTACACGGTTGGATGTGAGTGCTGCATGATCTTGCCCCAACATGGATGCAAGAAAGAGAAAGCCTGACTTTTCCCAGCGTGGTTCGTCGCTGCCGACTTCTCCTTTGCGATCCTTCCTTGGTTCATCATCTGGGATCTCAATATGAAGCAAAAGGAAAAGATCACCGTTGCCTGCGGTCTCAGTCTTGGAATCTTGTAAGCCTGGAAACCCCCGCTGCCTTGGACCAACATCTGACGTGGAGACTCGAGCGCTGGAATATGTGGTATCGTTCGCACCGTAGCTCTGGCAGGCCTGAATGCATCTGAGTATATATGTACGTTCTCTTCATCCTCGCTAATAATGGTAGAGCTGACTAAACTCAAAGATGATACCGTACCAATGCTCATTTGGTCCGCAACCGAAAGCTGCGTGACGATCATGTGCTCGTCGATTCCCGTCCTCCGTCCTCTCTACGTTCGCATTAGGTACGGCACGAAGGACGAAAACGGCTCTTCTGGCAACACTTCCTACAAACTGCCATTGTACGGCAGCGGTCGCAAGTACGGCAGACTTTCGAAGTCCGGCCTTGATCCTTCCACCATCGAAACAATCGGCGGTTCCCTCCGGGCGCCCGCTGATGACTATCACAAAAGCAATGTCAGTGATGAACATATACTTGATGGCGCTGCAGGTATCGAACGGACGGATGAGATTTCAGTCAGCTATGAGCCAGCTGAGAAGAAAGTCTAGAGAACGGCTCACGTTTCGAGTACGCCGATCGATGTCTGCTTGTCAATCTGGGCCGAAAAGAGAGCAACCTGAAACATGATGTCCGAGCGTCGTGTATAGTTGATTGGTGGAGGGGACTGACGGGATTGGACCCGAGTTAGGCAACTTAGCTGATAACTACTGATGTGCCTGTCACCCCAGACAAGGGTTTGAAGGTCATAGAAAATCCTCCGTCGTCCATAAATCTCCTAAGTTCGTTGGAGGACGCATGAACCCCAGCTAGGAGGTTCCTACAGGCTCGTGATCAATTCACAGATTGGAGAAAGTAACAGAATATTCTCCGTATTTGTTCTGTACGATTGCAGAATGATTGGCAGAGGAGTATTTATCCGCCGATCCAGACTGCTTCGCGATCAAGTAGATCTCGCCAAAAGCCCGGAAATGGACCTGAAGCCCTAGGCTGTTTACACATAACACCTGTTATGGATTTTCCCCCTAGTCAAGAATCAATATGAGATTTTTTTTTTTTCTTGTTTTTAAAAAGAAAGAGTCTATGCATCACAATCGGATTTACTATTCTCCCTCCGTCCTCTCCTCCCTAGTAGATCTATCACACAAATTTCACGGAATATAAACCCGGGCGTCGTTAGTGCTCACTAGACTAAAGAACCTCCTGTTACGGGCTCCCATACATCTAATTAAATCAATCGGTAATGTGTAAAATTAGATACACTAGATCGTCCTTTGTTCAACCAGAAACTCTATCCTCCCCGTCCCACGGCCCAAGCCCCCGGGACGGCAATTCTAGGTTAAGAAACGTCCTAAGTTGTGCTAACATTATTCACTAAGATCAGTAAATTAAAGTTCCGGGGAAGCACATTTAAAGCTAGTGAAGATGGTCTATGTCTAGCTCGGGCCTTTCATAATGAAATTAGAATCTGAGGGTCACCCGATCTGGGATTAGGGCTCGTTAGAACTAAGCAAGGGACACGGGAGGGTGTTACGGTGGCAAATAACACGACGACGACGACTTTCCTTCATGTAAGCTCTAAGGTCTGGGGTCTGTGCTTCTGGAGTTATTCGCATTAAGTTTTATGTTGAAGTTTTAAATCAGAGGTACTTTTGACGTGAGAAAATAAAATTGAATAGACGAATACGAGGATATTGAGGGTAGCGGGAGGGAGATATATTTTAGCTCGCGAGTCACTGGATATGTCAATGGAAATGACGATCACAACTTACCCAGAGCAACGTATTAGTCGACTACTAGTGTATAGTGGTCACAAAACAACTGAGAGTTTAAATTTTAAGCCGGACATAAAATGATGGGCGTCTTTCAGGGGCTTGATTGTGGCTTTTTTGTGGCCTTTCTGTTGGGATTGAGCAAGATCACATGACCGTGGTTAGGTGCTTCTTGCCTCAGGCTGAGATTGTATGTCATGGATATCGCTGATCAATAATCTGGAGTTGTTTAGTTACTATCGGGGGGTATAGGTTAATAAAAACTTCTGTTATGTAACTAGATTGTCTTACAGTTTGATTTTTTTTTCTCTCACATAGCTATAATTTAACTCACAATTGAACCACAAGTCTGACAGCTTAACGGTTAGGGCAGCTTTGGCCAAGGAAGCAACCCTTACTATCTGCCATATAGATCCGAGCCCTAGAAGGTTCTGTGGCGCCGTGTGGATCAAAGTAGACACACATCACGAATATTTCATGACTTTGCAATTGTGCGTTTTCAGCACAGCTGTTAATTCCAGCATCTGTTAAATCCGAAGCTATAAGCCCACAGCTTTAACTAAAGTGGAGCCTTACCGGCACGGTTCCAATGATAACTTCGGTATGAACCCCACTCGATGCACACCGGAGCCTGGAACCGCCCGACCGGACTGGATCCAATGACGAAATAGCTCGCCCCTCTAGCTATGAATGAGGTCATGAATGTATTTGTTCATGCCAGGCTATATATATACCGTTGTCTATTCATGTCATCCCGTCAAGGCTGGAATTGGATTCAAATCACACGAGTAATTGCAATCCCCTTACCATCACATCACAACTTCAACACAGCGCATACAACAAAATGTCCTCCGGCGTATCCTTTAAAATAAGCAACGGCGTCACGATCCCCGGCGTCGGTTTCGGTACCTTCGCCAATGAAGGCTCCAAAGGCGAGACGTACAAGGCTGTCCGTCACGCCCTGAAAGTCGGCTACCGCCACCTCGAATGCGCCTGGTTCTATGCCAATGAGGATGAAGTAGGACAGGCGATTCAAGATTTCCTGAAAGAGAACCCGTCGGTTAAGCGGGAGGATCTGTTCGTGACGACAAAGGTGTGGAACCATCTGCATCGGTATGATGATGTTTTGTGGTCGTTGGAAGATTCATTGAAGAACTTGCAATTGAGCTATGTGGATTTGTTTTTGGTGCATTGGCCCATTGCCGCTGAGAAGGATGAGAATCATCAGCCGAAGCTTGGTCCAGATGGAAAGGTATGGTATCGAGATATTGTGAAGTATGGATAATCCACTAACGGTATGAATAGTACATCATTCTTGAAGAATTGACAAAGAACCCCGAAGAAACCTGGCGAGCAATGGAAAAGATCTACGAATCCGGTAAAGCTCGCGCGATCGGCGTGTCCAACTGGCGTATCGAAGGCCTTGAATATCTCAACAAGATTGCCAAGGTCAAGCCTCAAGTCAACCAGATCGAGGTTCACCCCTTCCTTCCTAACACCGAGCTCGTCAACTACTGCCAGAAGAACGGCATCATCGTCGAGGCTTACTCGCCCCTTGGATCCCAGAATCAGGTCCCCACTACGGGCGAGAAGGTGTCTGAGAACCCGACGTTGAATGCAATTGCCAAGCAGAAGGGTTGTACTTTGGCGCAGATTTTGATCGCCTGGGGTTTGAAGAGAGGCTATGTAGTTCTGCCGAAGAGTTCTAATCCTGCGAGAATTGAGTCGAACTTTCAATCGGTTGAGTTGTCGGAGGAGGAGTTCAAGGCTATTAATGATGTTGCGAAGGGAAGGCATTTCCGGTTTGTTAACATGAAGGATACGTTTGGCTACGATAATTGGCCAGAGGAGGCGTGAAGAATGGTTTCAATAAAAGTATTATAGTTTTTAGACACTTAGCAACGAACTGTGATGATCATTTGACTTATTCTGACTTTTGTAAATGGGCTGTTAAACCTATTCCATGTTATTATGTAGACAACTGCCCTGACCTTTGCAGATGTCAATCGTGGCCTTGCACACACTAGCACCTAAGATAGTCTAGCCAAGTGGCGCTCATTGAGTTTTACTTTGGGAGCATAAACATACTGTACTAAATGATCATGGGATCTTGAAGCGATCTAATTATCGAACTAGTCAATGATCTATAGAGTTGAATCTTTTGTCATACAGTCAAGCAAGTTATTCCACGATGTAAATATGGTAAGTAAGTTCCGATGTCACCTTGAATCGGGTAAGCTCCATAGTTGGAAAGACTCTCTCATCTTAAGCTTCTACTTGTACTACTATAAAAGATCAGGAGCTTCAACGATGAGCGTATTGGAAAATTGATTAAATATGAGGGTGGCATGCACTAGTGTTTCAGAGATCGCGTAGGAGTGATATGGAGATACTTTTCCTGAGACATGTAGATTTGATAGCAATGCTGATCGCTTAAGTGAATAGCTAGTAGCCTTTCGAAGTTGCATGTGCATCCAATAGCTGATTAAATATGGAAGTCCGAAACCCACGGAGACCTTTTCCTACTCTGAATGTACACCTCGGAAACCAACTGTGCTACGTGGAAGACCAGTAGAACTTTGTGCTGCCCCGACCACATAGTCGAGATGGCTACAAGTAGGAGAACCTATGAAGGGGTATGACTTGTGTACCATTAAGCGTCATGTAAGCATCCATAATATTAAGAGAGCATAAGCCCTAATGACCAGGAGTTTCAGGCCCGCTATGCATCACCGCTATTTATTATCGGTATCTCCTAGAGGGAAAAGCAAGATTTCGGCCATCTCTAAACTATATTGGAAGTAAAAAAAGCATATGAGTATTTGTGGAAGTATTTTACTAGACTCAGGGCCTATGGATCAGATAGAGTTGGTAAACCCTAACGACTTCTGGCTGTTACCCTTTTGATGTACACTATGCCACCTGATCCAATCCTTTCCCAACAATACTCTCGAGAATGATTTTACAACAGCCCCAACAGTACAAGATGCGATAAACGTGGTCCAATCTTGTTATACGTGCGACCTGAAATCGAGGTTCTAGCCAAATCTAGGGGTGGAATAAGGGCCAGAACAATTGAGGCTGTTATAGTAATGAGCTTGATCTGGACTAATGGGCGAATGAATCGAAATGTATGTTTGTGGAAACAACAGTATATTCCATTACTAGTATTGTTAGACGAAGCTCAAATGGTGATTGATATTGACCTAGCCATGTCCGCGTTTAAACTTCACCTACTTACAAGAGGCGCATCAAATGACTTGAAATTCATCAGCCGAGAAATTTCTTACGCTGACTTTGACTCATTGTAAGACCCTCGCTATAAGAATAAAGAAGGAATAAAAAGCGATTTAACGGCCCAGAGCTCTCATGGCTTGCATGACCACATCGAACAACTGGAACTGAATCTTACTCTTCTGTGGGCCTTTCTCACGACAGGATCCCAGAAGCCTCCTATACCATGCAGAAGATAGAATGGCTCTGGAGTTCTATTAAGCACAATAGCCCCCGCATAAACTTTCTAACTCTGCACTATGCTTACTTCCTTATCGTGTGCCTTCTGTCGTCCATCGTGTGCTGGGCCACTTCGACTCCTCCCCGCAGTGTCCGATATGTCGATTCAGTATTTTTCACGTTCAGTGCGATGACAGGAGCAGGACTTAACACGGTCAATTTATCAACCTTGAATACATTTCAACAGCTGCTATTATTCACCCTCATTGCAGTTGGTTCCCCGGTATGGTTTAGCTACCATATCTGCTTTTCATGTCTAAACGATAAGCACATGGGTCCGAAGACCATGTCTTCTCAGCCTTTCATTCCTGCTGCGTGTCGCTTGCTTGATCCTTACTAAACCAGAACTGTAGATATTTGTATCTATCGGAGTTTTGCTAGTGCGCCGCCGTGCGTTCGAAAAGCGATTCGGCAACATCTTTCGAGAGCAGGAATCTCAACAATCTAGTCGTTCTAGTTCCAGAACCCCTGTCTCACAGTCCCCATTCCAGGAAACCTGCTCTCGCAGTAACCTCCAGGTACCAAGGTTAGAATGCCCAGAATATGGAACGGTTCTAGAGATGCCGCCCAGAGATCACCAACAGCTAGCCGAGATCTCAGAGCAACATGCAGACAAAACCTGTGTCTCAGCTAATATTGTACAAAATCCTTGCGCAGCGGTTCATCCTAAGAAGGCTATCTCCAATGCTCATATTCGCTCCCCATCCAGAGTTGACTACCTACATCCCGATTCAGCTGTCCAACCGAATTCTAGACGTCAATCCGACATGCGTGGAAAAGAGGAGTCTCTCAGCCTACAGCGCAAGGAAGGCCGTAACTCTTCCTTCTATCATCTCACTAAGAAGGAACGCCATAGAGTGGGTGGTGTTGAGTATCGAGCTGTTTGCCTGTTGGTGAAAATTGTTCCGATCTACCTTGTCATGTGGCAATTGCTTGGAGGGCTGGGCATAGGAGCCTACATCGCGACCAAGAAAGCTGTAATAACAGAGACAAATGGGGTCAATGCTTGGTATGTATTCCCATATTTTGGATATGTCTGCCGCAAGTTCTTGGAAGACTCACTCGTCTGTTTAAGGTGGGCAGGGATATTTTTTGCTGTATCAGCATTCAACAATTCGGGCATGAGCCTTGTGGATTCGAACATGGTAAGTGTATTATGGTTCCATATGGCCAATCTCTGTTGACTGTCAAAGGTCCCTTTTCAGTCGTCTATATATATGCTCATAACAATGGGTCTGTTAATCCTGGCAGGCAATACATGGTAAGCAAATTAAAATTGTTCCTGACCGATGCCTTAACGAAAATGTTCAACAGCTATCCGATATTCCTCCGTTGCATATTATACGTATTACTCCAAATGCTACCGGAAAATGACTACTTCAGCCATTCTCGTCACACGTTACGTTTCTTGCTCGACCATCCGCGACGGTGCTATACCAACATATTCCCTTCTCGCCACACTTGGTGGCTCCTATGCGCTGTCATGGCTTTGAATGGCCTCGACTGGGCCGCCTTTGAAGTATTGAATGTGAGACCAACTGTTTCAGCTGTTGTATACAGAAATTAATGCCGTACTTATTCAAGCTAGATTGATAATCCATCCGTCAACAAAATACCTCCTGGACCACGTGCATTAGACGGGCTGTTTCAGGCGCTATGTGTTAGGACTGGCGGTTTCTATATCGTCGCCATATCATCACTTCAGATCGGAACACAGGTCATCTACGTTGTCATGATGTATATAGCAGTCTATCCCGTGGTGATTACTATGCGCAGCTCCAACGTGTACGAGGAGCGAAGCCTAGGGATCTACGCCAGAGAGCCGACTTCAAAAGCTAATTCATTGGATCAGCAACAGGAAAAGTCGCCAAAGACCGTTCCCTCAAGTCGACTTTACTTTATTAAACAGCAACTCCACGTCCAATTAGCATACGACATATGGTGGCTCGCACTAGCGGTGATCATTATCTCCATTGTCGAAGCGGGAAGTTTCACCCGAGACCCAGTCGTATACTCTGTCTTTAATATCATCTTCGAGACTATCAGCGCCTACGGATGTGTGGGTATTACTACCGGGCTCCCAGACCAGGCGTATAGTTTCTCGGGTGGCTGGCACTCTCTGAGTAAGGTGGTTCTTTGTGCTGTGATGCTTCGCGGCAGACATCGCAGCCTACCGGTGGCTATTGATAAAGCGATCATGTTGCCTGGAGACTATCTGGAGCGGGTCGAGGAGGAAGATGCCCATATCCGAATGGAGCGCTCTTTGGAACAGGAACGTGGGAATGTGTAGTGTGGATGACGGAATACGAGAGAACAAGCTTGTTATAGTATAGGAATGTTTGCTATACCATTATCTCCTACCGTTTTATCTCTTTGGCGTATGATAGCGGAGATGCTGATATCCATATCCTAAGCCCGTCTTCGCAGATAGGTTAGAATTGCCAATAGGATTAGTTGAAGCTGGGCTGGCACTCACGATTAGCGTATGTAGGTCTGGACCAATAGATATTCAATTGAATTTTCTAATTTGTTGTGAAGATAAGAAAACGGTTTTAAGAGGTTTTCATATTTCGCTGAGGCTGTGTCCGAAGCCTCGATATTTGGCTCTAGTAAGTAAGCCCTAACCAAGCACATGATTTACCGATTGCACCATTTGGACGTACTCAAGGACTTCAATCAAATCTCTCGATGCTATTCCTACCTGTACGGGTCAAGCAGATTGTTTTATTTTCGTTTCTTGGCACCGCGCAAGTACCTTATGTGCGTGCTTTGATCATCCTTGGCGACAATCATGTATTCAGACGAGGATGGTATGGCCTCGAAAGAGAGTCAGAGCCAGTATAACATTCGTATCCGCATGTTAATCTCTCTCACTACGCTGCTCTCGTGGCTGGACCTAAGTACTGCAGTTGCGAACGGCAATTACGCGCGAGAAAATGTACAATTCGGCTTCTCTTTCACGCAACTGCACTGGTCTACCGGGAGCACAACCTTGTGGGCAAGATTTCTGATGAATCAATGTTCCTGTTTCTTCGGATATAACCGACTGACTTAGCGTGTAGGGCTTGCTGTCATTACATGGACTGTATCTTCAATTGAAAAAGGATCCTGTTGAAACCTACGCTGCTGGGCTTCGTGGGTCGGCATTATCTGCTGTTATCGTCTTCTCTGAGGCTTTTATGTCATGGTTAAGTAATGAGACGCCTGTATCACTTAAATTATCAAGAGCTTTGCCGCTTTATCTCGCTGTTTGATTGGTGGCCATTCAATTCCTCTTTCCTCGTCGCCCAGCTGTTTTCACATCCGAGGGAAAGGCCGTCGATCATGAGAACAGCGCTTCAGCTTTCCAAAAATATTCGATGCAATGGTGTACGACAGCCCTCGATATTGCCGGGAACCATGTTCCGCTCGACGAACTTCCTGCCCTAGTCTTATCTAGTAGATCGAAGAGCCAGCCGCTGATTACCATTGACTCCTCTTCAAAGACAAGCTTGTGGAATCATATCCTCATGGAACGATCTTTTGAACTCGTGAAGCACTGGGCTTTGATGCTTTCGCGATCTGTATTTACTTCCTGTCCGCCATACTGTGCTATGAAATTGCTGAAAGCACTTGAAGATAACTTACATTCAAAGCATGATGCGTGGGTCTGGCTAATCGGCATCGCTTTGTTCTCTACATGTCAAACAATTCTTAACTATCATATAATCTGGATCCAGTGGTCAGAAATGGTCATTCTAGTTCGAGCACAATTGATTATGGCATTGTTCCACAAGACTTTGAGAGTCAAGGACTCGAAGACCACCTGCAAAAAGAATTCTCGGTCTAAACCCGACGCCGTGAACCACATCTCATCGGACACCCTTTCCCTCAGCAAGTTCACGTCTGTCAACCACTATATCCCCTCCTCGTTTATCCGATTCTTCTTTGCCATCTTATTTCTTATACGATTACTCGGATGGCAGTGCACGCTTGCTCCGCTTATAGCCACGGTAATGAGTGTACCGGTACATATGTCAGTTATCAAACATGAACGGGCGGCGCGAAAGAGGCTTGCCATCGCAAGAGACAAGAAGACAAAAGTAGTTACGGAAGCCATGCATTCTTTTCGACAGATCAAATTCTCTGCCTCAGAGACACAATGAGAGGAGCGCTTTGAATCCTTCAGGCTCGAGGAGCTTAAGCAACTCCGCTTGTGTTCCACCGCTAGCACTATACGATCTGTGTGGAGTGCTGCGTCGCCGTTCATCATTGCAGCTATTTCAGTATGCACATACGCGTACACCAACCGCTCGATTTCCCCGTCTACTATCATTCCTATGGTTGAGCTGTTGCCTCATCTCCAGGGAACGCTGGGCTTTCTTCCTGTTGTATTCCATGATTACTTCAGTGCCAGGTCAAATGCGCACCGGATGGAGGAGTTTCTCGGAGACCGGAACAGGAGAGGGTTTTGAAGCCTAGTCCCCTTGATCCCTCAAGATCCCGTTCTATTTTCCGGGGCGGTGCGGTCTAACCTGGATTACTTCCAAGAGATATCGGACAATTAGCTCGAAGACGCTCTACGGCGTGTAAAGTTATTCGCGGAGAAACCTGGTAATAACGATGGATTGCTCACACTTGACTCTCCTATCAGTACCGATGGATCGAATATGTCGCAAGGTCAAAGGCAACTGCTATGTTTGGCACGGATTTTGGTCAGGAATCCTAAGGTTATCATCCTCGATGCAGCCACATCTGCTGTTGATAACAGGATCGATTTGTGGATCAAAGATACCATTAGAACCCAGTTCAGTGGAACTCTGATTGTTGTGGCGCATCGTTTGAGGACGATTGCGTCTTTCGATAAGGTGGTTGTAATGAAGGATGGGAATGTCGCGGAGGTTGGTGTGCCAGCTGAGCTTTTAGGCGGCAAGGGGCTGTTCTACAACCTGATTCAGAATATTGATGATAGGGAGTTTTTGACCAGTCTCATAACAGCTGGGGAGAGGAAATCGGCCTAATTTTAGCCGATTGGACGCGTGTTGTTTACTACTACGACCTCAGTGATATGCAATCAAATAATTCAGGGTGATGGCCGTCAACAGCCTCTGCACAGGGCAAAAGGAAGGATCATTTGAGGTTGTTAACCTGCGAAGAGGGATGGGCTGCTCTGTTCCTAAAATCTTAAAGTAACTGAATGAGCTGATATATTGAATATATCGATCGAGCTTCATGACTTTGCCGTTGCCTGTAGGTGTATGGCAGTGAATTACGGATTGAGTCACCCTGCAATTTCGAATGTTGAATTATGCAAAAGTGTCCCTATCTACAAATAAAACATTTAGGTAAGAGAAGCTGTAAGGCACCAATATCTGAGGATCTTGGAAGCCCTGGTAGGGTCCCACCTGTCTATGAATCCACTCAGGTTTCATAACGTAGAGCAGTCCTGGGTTTCTGATTTCTTCTGCCATTGTTTGCCTTGGAGACCCTGAATTATTATATAATGTCTATTCTCACAGTATTTCTTTTTTACGTCTCTTCCATCGGCCTTTGTTTAAGGTTTCAGTTATTCTTTGCTGCGTCACACAAGGAAAGGTTGAGTTTGATGAATATTCTCGCATTGACGGCTCGATTGCGGGATTTTAATGAAACTAGTTTAGTAGTTGTACCCTGGGTATGCCTTCTTCAGACTTGTTAAACATCGTGATGCTCGTATTGTATTAGCCTGTCATAGTGTTTCAACTCTATGCTCTCATGACTGTAAAAGCTCCTGATTGTCTATAACCGCTCTGCCAGGAAGATAAACACAATTCAATCTATTCAGTATCCAACCGAATGATGCCACAAAAGCTCCAAAAATCGATGAAGTCAATACCCAAGCAAATCGCAACACCCAAAAGTGGAGTGCTTCATTGAAAGGGTGCTTGGTCGTCTTGTAATTCAGATTTAAAAAGAAGATACGACAACATTCTGCACTCCCTACAGCAGCTTTTATGAGAGTCCTTTTGGATCATTAGGCTGCCACGCAATATGCTCAGAGCCTCTGGATGATGCAGCACGTCCGCTGTATAGCAAAACTTCTTTCTTCCTGCTATCTGGCCTACCTTACAAGTGGTGCCTTTATTAACATTAAATATAACCCCCCACACCGTCAACCCCGTCCCGACAACAGAACCATGCCTCCCCACTACTCTTATACAACTCGCCCCCGTTGCCATAGTCGATATCCAAGCTTGAACACAACCTAAACCCCTGAACCTCCAGACACTGAAGCACATCTAGTATGGCCACTCTACTCAGCACCGCTCCTTCGTCTGACGACTTAGCCCATATCTTTCTTTGGAACCTGACCTCAAACGTCCCGGTCACAAGATCTTGGTTACAATTTTTGATCCTGTCCCCGAAGGTTGAAACCAAGGATAAGGCCAACGCGTGGGGTGCGTTGATAAGGTGCATGAGGTCTTCGGAGTCGAAGGAGATACACATCCAGGAGAGTTGCTGGGGGGCTTGGCGTTTGAATATTAGGCTATCTGCGTTTCTGTCAGTTAGTCTTCTATAGGAAATTTATATAAGAGTAGCAGTATAGATTTGGGACGGAAAAGAGGAGGAAGAAGGAAAAAGAAAAAAACAATAAAAAAAAAAAAATCCTAATTGAAATAAAGACAAACATACCTTTCTGCCCAAGCGACGTATAATTCCCTATCCTTCCCAACCCCCCCGCAGCAGGGTGTACACCCCACCCTTCTCTTGCCAATGTATCAAGAAGCCCTAACATAACATTACGAAGTGCAATCTTCTCATCGTCGTTACCGTGTTCGAACGGATTTCCCCGTAACTTGAACTCCGTACTCTCATAGTACGCCTTTACATTTTGTATGCCCTTCGGCCAGTGTTTCTGGAGAGTCTCCGATACAAGCGGTACAATAGACTCTGGGAAGCGCATAAGACGAACACGATCGTACCCTGAGAAAGAAATCAGCCCGTATTGCGATAGTTGAGGCTCATCTTGTAATTGGGTTTTGTTGTCGCCTGGGATAGCGGTTGAGCTGGAGCCTGCGGTTTCCTCGTAGGCTGGGGGTTCGTCGCGCATTCTGAAGCAGGCCATTGCCTGATTTATGGAATGGGTTCTGTTACACCTTTCGTGAGGAGAGGTACTGTAGTTAGTTACTTGTGCTGACGTAAGTCTAATAGTCTAGAGAAGAATGGGTGGAGAATTAGGGTCGGAAGGGCTGTTATGTTCTTATATTCGCTGAAGTAAGTTCTCTTTTGCCTTAAAGAACGATTCTAAAATTCTGTTGCCTGATGCCGGGGTGGTAAGACTAGAGCCCTACAGCCAGAAATTGTAACTTCGTATAAGCCATATTAGAGGATCAGAAGCCAGCCAATGTGAGCTGCGGGTTGAGACTGCGCCACCTTGGGCACTGAGCAACTGCATCTTATTCGTCATAATCCATGTACGCAGGATTTCACTATATGTCTTTCATGAAAGACAAGGCTGTGGGGGTTGATGTCACGAACCGCCACAAGGTCATTTGTGGCCGAGCATTTACACCTCCCTTTGGTCCAATGGAATTGCCCACATGATACTGACAGTGGCTTGATTGTCTTGATTTGAGTATACACATGGACCTATGATGATACGTACCTATTGTGCTAGATGCTAGGGTTTTGAAAACTCTTTGGAGCGTCAAGGCGTATGTGTATGAGGCTAGCCATCCCCTCTTCATTGGGCTCATGTTTGCCCGAACTCTGTATTGGTCCATGAGAACCTTGTTGCTTCCAAATCATTGCATAATGCGTAGTTAGTCACGCTGTTTCAAATCGAATAATGATAACATCGTAGCATGATCTCAATACTAAGTTCTGGTATCTACAGTTCAGCATGTGCTCGATGAGCCAAGGTTATATTACTATAGTGACAGCAGTAAAGGTCGGCAAACAGAAAGCCTACCGTCACTAAACATGGAAAAAGCTAGATATTGCTCCATATATACAATACAGAGATATAGACCACAGTGGTGCAATTCTGTCGATTGCTGAAAGAAAATCTCTGACTTTTCTATGTAAGATAAATAGTCATCTATGGTAAGCAAACCGCCGAAATATATTGAGCAAGAACAAAAGCAAACGCCAAGCCGTCTATCGTAATGACCAAAACAGGCAAATCATCACACTGCGCATGCAGCGAACAGAGTCCAGAAAAATGGTATAAACAACGAATATTTACTAAGCCTCATCATCAGTATCCGGAGGCTTGGGGGTACCCTTGGGGCTATTAAGCCACTCAAGATGGCGGAGACGACGACGAGTCTCACGCTCCTTCAGCTGGGCACGGGTCATCTTCTTCTTCTTTCTCGCCTTGAACTTGAGTTCTCCCTGTTCCTCGGCGCCAGAGTTGACGGCGGAGGCAGCAGCGGAGGCAGCCGCGCTGGTGGCCGTAGAGTTCACAGCGGTGCCGGCCTGGGGCGAGTTGGCCGCACTGTCTTCGAACCGGTCAAGCGACACGCCTGTGTTGGTACGGGCAACAATGCGCCCATCAGCGACGTGAAGCTGTTCGGGGCAGAGCGCGCCCACAAATTCCTCGTTGTGAGAAATCATGACCACACCACCCTTGAAGTCGCGGATGGCCACAGCCAAACCACCCAAAGAGTCACGGTCCAAGAAGTTAGTGGGTTCGTCCAGCACAAGCAAGTGAGGGTTGTTCCACATGGCTCCGGCCAACACAACCTTCACCTTTTGACCACCAGAGAGGCCAGAGATTTGGTTGTGGTTGGCGATCTCGGGATCCAAACCGACGTCCTCAAAGTGCTTCGAGATCTCAGGGGGTTCCAAGTTTCTGAATCCAAGACCCTCACGAGAAGCCTCGTGATCATCGAATTCCTGAACCAGCTTGAAGAAGCCAAGTTCAAGCAGGGTCTCACGGGAGATCATGGTGTTATGCTTGGGAAGGAGACCAATCCATTTACTATGGTATCTGTTAGCGGGGGCGCGCGGGGACTAGCAGGCGGCGATAACTTACACTTCGTACTGGAACGACTTCTTCCACTTTTGCCGACCCATAAGGGCCTCAATGCGACGGGGACCCCTGCCATCCTTGAGGTCGACCGGCTTCTCCAGCTGAGCCTTATCTTCCTCGGTAAGAACACGGGTCTGCTTCAGGTAGACCTCGCGGTCGTCACCGTTAGCATAACGCCACTGGAGGTACTGGCTAGGTGTCTTCTCTAGATGCATCTCCACGTGCTCGAGAGCGTGCTGCTTAATATAACCGATACGAAGGTTGGGGTGTTTCTCGACTTTGCCAGTTTGGGGGATGGTCTCTCCCGTAAGCATCTTGATGAAAGTAGATTTACCAGCACCGTTTCCTCCAATGATGGCAACACGGGAGGACAGCGTCAGGGTAAGCGATGCGTCAGTCAAGGATGGCTTAGTGGCACCGGGATAGGTGTAGGAACAGTTGGTCATCCGGAGGATGGCACGGGTCTGGGACTTGATACCAGACAGAATACCAGGGGGAGGGAACTTGAACTGAACAGCGCTGGCGGACAAGGTGTAATAGCTCTTTGCTTCGGGCTTCTGCTTGACGAAAGCAGCCAGATTACCCTTGTAGCAGACCAGCTTCTTGTTTTCATAGTGATAAATATCCGTGCAGACTTCGTCCAAGAATCCGGAGTCGTGACTGACAATCAAACTGGTGATATCGGTGTGCTTCTTGAGGTATTCCTGCAACCACTTCACGTTGGCAACATCCAAGTGGTTAGTGGGTTCGTCCAAGAGTAGAACATCCGCCTTCATGAGCATGGCACGGGCCAACGCAAGCTTCATCTTCCAACCACCAGAGAGTGACCCAACACGCTGCGACTGGCGGCCCTCTGGGCCATCAGTGAAGCCGAATTCGAGAAGCACCTGACTGATGTGCTCCTGACCAGCCTCTGCAATCTTGGGGTCTTTGGAGACGTACTCGATGATGCTCAGGTCAGCATCTTCGCCCTGGTTATGCTCGACAAAGCAGGTTCGAACAACATCCTGCGGGGGGAAGCCCTCCAGCTTTTCGTTGGCGATACTGCGCATGAGAGTCGACTTGCCAGCTCCATTGCGACCACAAAGACCATAACGGTGACCCTTCAGCAAGCGGAGGTTAGTGTGGTTGAGAAGCAGCATTCCACCGTAGGCGAGGGAAAAGTTGGCGTTGACAATCTCGACCTCGTTGGGATCATCGGGCTCAGGCTTTCCAAACTTGCGGTGATCTTCCTCAATGAAATGTGCCTGAAGAGCGGAGGCGACAGCGTCGTGTTTATCCTCCGATAGCAAGCCACGCAGGTAGGGGGCGACACAGACAGGGATACGGTCGTGCATGCGGCAATTCACATCTTCACGGACCATCTCCGCGATGTAAGTCTTACCGAGCTCGAAAAGTGTATGCGCCTCGGGCACAGCAAGGCCGCCGTTGGCCTGAACCTGGGCATCCAAGACGGCGAGAACCTCATCTGGAGTTGTCTTGGTGACAGATCCAGCGTGGACGTTGCTGTCGCTCATGGCCTTCTCCATGACGTTCAATGCGCGGGTAGCAAGCTCTCGGACTTCCGGGAGGGAAGCACGATCCTTGACCGCCTGTACACCAGGGATGAGCTTGGGCAAGAACGTACGTGCCTCGGAGGGATCATGTACGAGTTTTGTCAGGTTCTCCACGACCACGACAGTGCGACGCAAAGTCTCTTGGGGCGTTGTTGGGGCGTTCAAGGAGCGCTCCAGCAAAGGGGTGAGCAAAGCCAGGACGGGCGAGGTAACAATGGCGACGAAAGTAGTTTGCGACAAGGCATGGATGGCATCCTGTAGTGTCTTCTCGGATGGCTGCTCCATGGTCTTGATCAAAAGAGGGATACGGGGGGTAACATCATCGTTGGACAACAGAGTGGTAACCGCGTTCATGGCCTTGCAGGCCCGCTTAGCCACTTCAGCCTTCAGGTCGTGCATGCCGGACTCCACCAGAGGGATCAAGTCTTTCAGAGTCTTGCCCATCGCCTCCCGCAGTATATCCTTCTCACGTTCTTCTTCCATAGTTCCGTTACCCATCTGCGCCTTGACGGCCATCTTCTCGATGAGGGAGTATGCGCCGACAAAGCCCTGCCACTTACCAGTGCCGCGACTGAGATAAGCAGAAAGGGCGGGGAGGAGACCATTGGCCATCGATTCGGGCTTGAGGCAGGTAAACAAGGCATCGATTGCATACTGAGCGGCGTCGCGAACTACGGCGCCCTTGTCGGCCAACGCATCGAGGGCAACGCCGAGAACGCCGCCATCTTGAAGGAGGAATACGACTTCGCTGAGAGGGTGTTCGCGGGGGAAACGTTCGAACAGAGCGCCGATGATCAGCATAGCACTCTCACGGCGAGCGCCATTCTTCTTATCGTTCGCCGCCTTCTTGACTTGCGACAAGACGTCATACTTCTGAAAGCCGAGGCAGCCGACACTTTGAATCAACAGGTTGGTCAAGGCGTAGGAGGCATCAAGAGACTGCTGGGAGGTCTCTGCGGTAAAGATGGTGTTGAAAAGGGACGAAACCTCCTCCGAGGTGGGAGGGACGGTCGATGGGGTCTTGGAAACAGCGGTAGCCATGGCTGTAGGTTCGGAATGAGGCATTCTCTTGTATATATGGCGATCTTAAATGCAGTGCGTCACTCGCCGGAGTGTGTGCTTTCGCTTCAACCTTTGCACTAAAATCCGTAAGCCACTAAAGCGGCGTGGTGCGGATGGAAAATTGAAAATACCACAAAAGAGAAAAGAAAAGTACAAAGAAGAAATCTACACGAAATTCAAAACTTTTTGATGAAAATCCAAACGTCAGATCGGCCTCTGGACGAGGATCCGTCTTCAACACAACAACAGGGTATATGAACAAGAGAAAGGAAAGAGGGGAGAGTGAAGAGACAAGAGGAAAGGGGAAAAAAATCCAGGCCGAACTGGAAAGAAAGATCACTCACTGATAATGATGGCGGGGCGGCGATTATTTTTTTTTGGGCCGCTGATAAGTTCCCTTGTGATTGGGCGCGGGTGAAAATCTCTGCCTGAGGCGCAGGGGAACCGGATTTGCACCAATCATAATACACCGCCTTTGCATGGGCCCTGATTGTTGGCTCAGCCCCCGTCGCCGCTCACAGCCTGAGGCACCCGTGGCTGGTAAGAGTCTAGCCAGGTGCCGGTTGTGGCGGTGCACGCTTGGTGT